TTTAAATATAAATTGAGACAAAATTTATAAATTTGCGAGTCATGTTATTTATTTTTTACCGATACAGTAACAATTTATCATATTTTTTTATCTTTATTCTCTTGTATTTTACAATTTTACAAACATGGCCGTGTAGTCCTGGCATAGAACAAGCCGCTCCTTCCTATCCCGTGGGTGACGTAAGAGGCGACTTAGGACATTACATTAGAAATCTCTAAAATTATCAGTGTTTCTCTACAATATTATGCATGTATTATACATATAAACTTTCCTCTTGAATCACTCTATCTATTAAAAAAACCGCTTCAAAATCCGTTATGTAGTTTTAAACATCTAAGCATACATAGGAACAAACAGACGGATAGTGACTTTGTTTTATACTATTTATAGTGAAGTATGAACAGTTAGAATATTTTACAATATCATAATCTTTTGTTAGCATTTGTTATCTTGAAAAACAATATAGTGAACACTCATATTTTATAGTAGGTCAAATGAGGCCTACACTACATGTGGGTGTTAATAATAAAGTAAATTTACTTAGTCAAAAGTCGATTGCACCTCTGTCGCATTCGTGACCGTGGAGGTGTGTTTGCACAAAGGTGGGATATGGCTTGAATCTACAGGGTACAGAGGAATAACATGGGCCAGAAATCTGTCCCATTCGTGTTTCCTACCGTGAAGCAGTCAACCACTTTATTGTGTTTGCATGGCTGCATGCTGTGATTTATATATATGTCGTCACACACACACACACACGATATATATATATATATATATATATATATATATATATATATATATATATATATATATATATATATATATATATATATATATATATATATATATATACAGGGGACAAACGAGCATGCGACTCGCCTGATGGTAAGTGACTACCGCCGCTCGTGATCACCCACAACACCAACGGCATTGCAGGTTTGCCGCCTGCCTTTGAAGGAATATGCTCTTTTCATGAAGGTGACGATGTCGTGTCGTATCGTATCGTCAATTCCATTTTTGTCATTAATAAAAAAAAACTCGTCAGCTTGTTTGTCATTGCATTTTACATAAAAAAAATGCAATTACAACTTGCTCTGCGGGATACTAAATAAGTAAATGAGAATGCAGTTTCATACACTTTCGCTCCAAGTGTTGCCAGCAGGAAATATACGTCTAAACAGTCAGATTTCTTTTTTATAGCATCAGGAATAGCAAACAAGATATCCTAATGGAAAGTGGTAACCGTCGCCTATAGAAAATCGCTTATAAATAAACAGTACCTTGGGATATGACTTCTATCCCCTTCGCGTTTCTACCGTGCAGCAGTTGTGTTGCATGGCTGTGTTTCGGTTTGAAGGGTAGGATATGGCGTGAATTTACTCTGGGTACAGAGGAATAACATTTGAGTTCTCAGGAATGGCAACGCATGGGGGGTATCATGGACGAAACAGTATACTCTGTTATGTCCATGGTACTGCTCATGTCTATAGGCGACGGTTACCACTTTTCAACAGGTGGGCCGTCAGTTTGTTTGCCATTCTAAGTTGCGTAGAAAAAAAAAACTTTATACTACATCTATGGATATTTACAGAGTACATACACAGCTTAGATTGTACAGATAGTGTCCCCATATAAATATATTATCAAAAACAGGTAAATTTTTTTATCCATCTATGCGCAAATAGGGTTACTATAATGTACATTTACTACACAGTTTATGGGAGAAATTATATTGTAAGGTTAAATTAAAAATTAAAAGGGATACAAATTTTTTACGAATAATTAATGATTATTTTTATTTATATCTAAATATAAATTTATAATATGGTTTTGTTGGGGGTAAAGGGATTGTTAGTAATGAAGACTGAGAATCCTATTGCTAGCAATATATCCAACCAGGTCAACCTCTTCGCGGTTCTCCCTGAAAACTATCATGGTTAATTCCTGATGTATCCATCATGATGGGCTAACTGGCCTGTTTTCATTCTCATCTATCACCCTTCACTGGTGCTCCGCCAGCGTATCCCGTTAGCGCAGGCGGGGTTACCATACCATTTTTACCCATCAAAAAAAAAAATAGTTTTGTTTTAATTACATACATACATATCGGTCATGCCTGTCTCCCATTAGGGTAGGCAGACACAAGCAGCATTTTGTTTTAAAATCATTGTATATTTATATAATATCGGAATAAATAGTTCGGAATTCAAATTTAAATAATTAAATTGTGTGTTATTATTTTGACTTAAGAACTAAACTACTGAATTAATTTTATTAAAATTCCTACGGGACCAATCTCTAAGTATATATACTTTTAGATAAAAAAAGAATTTTCCAAATTGGTTCACAACTGACGGAGTTATGAGGTAACAAACAGAAAAATACAACCTTTTAAAGTTTGACATTTTGAAGTCGGGAACGCTTTGGGAAATTTTTAATTTAATTACTTGTAACACTGGAAAAAAGGTGCGTTTTGTTCTGATTTAAAAAATAAATGCGTCTGTCAATTTAATGTCAATTTAGCTGATTTAATATTTACACGTTTTTGACACTTGAGTAATTTATATAAATTAAGATACATTTGAAAAAATATTACATTAGCTACGTTTTTCGACAATCAGGTGAATAGAATTACCTGGTGACGTTGTCGCATGTACTATGGTGTTTATTCTCGCTAGCAATTAAACACATAATTGTATCACAATACGTCTGTATGTACTATGTATGTACAAAGAGGTCGTTGACCCAGTTCGCGGGTTTTTGTTGACGAATGAACAATAATGTTGCGGTGCTGGTGAACTGTGAAACTGCGTAAACTCTTTTATCGGTTGATAACGTGTTCTCTAATGTTTTTTTTTTTGTACTTTATGGCGTTTCTAGACGGCTAGCTAGTTGAAAATGGAACGAAATTATCAGAGAGGCATTTGTGTAATTTTTTTGGCGCGTAATCACGCGAGTCTTAGGAGCTAATTGCACAATGCCATAATAAGGTAAGTCAATGTAGTAGCCAGAAACAAAACGTATTCAGTTGACAATCTTGTGGAGTAAATAGGCATGTTGATTTACGTCAATGAATGCTAGGATTCGATTCTCACTCAAGCCAATTTAGGATCGTTGCTAAGTGTCAGTGTATTTTGGGTTGGGTTACTAATTGTTTTTTTTTTTTAAATGATACATAAGCTGACGGCCCACCTGATGAAAAGTGGCAACCATTGTCTATAGATATGATCAAAAAACACCATAGACATTGCAGCATATACTGTAACTCCCATGGTATCGCCTCATGAGTTGCCATTCCTGAATGTCATGTCTCCGTACCATGTAATTTCATACTTTTCATGAAAAGCAGTCATGCAATCTCAGTAGGTTGGTGGCAGGAACACGTGTGTTACAGAAGAGTCCAAGCTGATGATTTTTGTATTTTTTGTTGTTTTTTGTAACATTAATTATCTAAACTTGAAAACTAGGCATTAGGTATGACTTTGTGGTAAAAAAGAATGTCGTTACAGAGTAACGTTATTTGGTTGCGGTTTTCTGTTAACCGGAAGTTCTTCCCCAGTTGGGCAGCTTGATAAATTACACTGTGGCCTAGTTAATTTAAAAAGTATAACATAGAATAGTTTAAGATGATTGACTCAAAACAGCGATTCCAATTTTGAACAAAATTGTATGGGAAGAAATGTATGGCAGTCTGGGGGGAAAGGGATTGTTAGTAATGAAGACTATGTATCCCATTGCTAGCAATATACCCAACTAGGTCGACCTCCTCGCGGTTTCCTCTGGAAACTATCACGGTGAATTCATCATGATGGGCTAACTGGCCTGTTTTCATTCTCATCGATCACTCTTCACTGATGCCTCACCTGCGTATCCTGTTAGCGCAGGCGGGGTTACTATTCCATTATCACCCATCAAGAAAAAAGTATGGCAGTTTATGGGGAAAGCTTATGCCCAGCAGTGGACGGATAATGGCTGAGGAGATGAGCTTCTATGCACAGACGTCGTGTAGACACAATTTTATAATATTCTAAAATAAGAAGACCTACTTCATTCTCACCTATCATCTTTCACTGGCGCCTCGTCGGTGTATACCAAAGATTAATAATAGAAAAAAAAAATAAAAAAAAAAGTTTAGTTTAAAAAAAATTATAAGACCATAGATTTTTTTATCTGTACATATGAATGACAATTACTATTGAATGACGTCAGAGCGATTTAAAATCATAGATTGAAGATAATACCTGATAGTACAGTCGGCGTCATTTATACAATATCTATCTCAACATGATCAAGTGCAATGAGTGGGAAGGGGAGGGGAGGGAGGGGATTTTAAGTACAGTCTAGAGATCCTATTGCATGCAATGCACCGCATCAGATCGACTTCCAGCGCGGTTCATCCTGAAAACCATCATGACTAATTTCCAATAAGTTCGTCATTCGGTAATAACTCCATTGTCAGTAATATGACCCAATAGGTTGACCTGAGGGGAAGGGATTATTAGTAATGCGGATTGCAAATTCCATTGTTAGTATATACCGTGTCAGGTCGACCTCCACGTGGTCCACCCTGGAAAACATATATTGGTAGCAATGGGGACATTACACCCCATTACTAACAATCCCTTACTCCCATATTGATCTTGGTGTTCCCCACATATAATTTAAGCACGTATGTCTGTACTCTATTATTCAAAGTACAAGCTCTGCTTAGTTTGGAACTAGAGGGCGTTGTGTATTATTTCAATGATACTCGTATTTATTATTAATTGTTTTAATAATAACTTTGTTATGTATGTAATGATGTTTACAAATTTAGAAACTAAATATTGTAAATTAACGATATGGGCTTAATGTACCATAAAAGTTTATTAATAAATGTTTATTGATTTTTGTCGCTGACTGTACCTTAAAATCTTCCACGTTTCACGTACTTAAATAATAATTATGTACAATTAATATGTATAGACTAGTTGGTACAGAACATTGTAGTAACTTACCCGCACAAAGGGATTCCTCTTTGGTAGTTCATGGTCGACCTCGTCTCTCTCCTCATCGTCCGCGGAGTTGACCCTCACGCAGGTCTTATGTATCGTCTGGGGCTCACCCATATTCGGCACACATCATACACACACTGTAATACACAAAAACGTATACACCTTAAGAACACTTCACAATTCACAATCACTGGCACGTTACGAGCTCTCGGACGATTGAAAATTTAAAAAACACAACAGATCCGTTTGAATTTTCAAATTTCGAATCTCGCGATGTGAAAGTTTATCGGACACCGTATTTGATTGTGGCACTATATTTTTTTTTCGCACTGACTTTTGATTTTAGAACACCGCTCGGACGTCTGGTGTCGATCTGAAAAAAAAAAAAAACAACTAGAGTGAAACTCTCTGGCTTGTAATCGTGTATTGTTTACGATGTTAGTCAATTATTTTACAGACATTTTTAAAGTGGTAGGTGTTTGTTTGAACGATATTTTTATCTCGGTTAGCGCGCGTACCCAATACAACTTGTGCTACGATTGTAAAGATAATGTGATATATAATTAATCAATTGTGAAATATTTCAGTAATTTATGTGTCACTCGTTAAGTACTTTGATTACGGAATGATTAAATAGGATTTATGATATTTAGTCGACTTTGAAAAAGGGGGAGGTTTTTTTTGATGGGTGAAAATGGTATGGTAACCCCGCCTGCGCTAACGGGATACGCTGGCGGAGCACCAGTGAAGGGTGATAGATGAGAATGAAAACAGACCAGTTAGCCCATCATGATGAATTCATCAGGAATTAACCATAATAGTTTTCAGGGAGAACCGCGAGGAGGTCAACCTGGTTGGCTATATTGCTAGCAACGGGATTCTCAGTCTCCATTACTAACAATCCCTTTCCCCCTACGGGGGAGGTCTATATTCAGGAAGGCTGAATGATGACAATGATTATATGTTACCCTTACATTATATAGATAGAGCATTGAGCCTCAAAAACGAGTGTACTTTTTATCAGCTAATTGTCAAATTAGCTGACTGGTTTTTTTATCAGTGTTCTATATACTTACGCATAAAATGTATCTTGACGTATTGTTTAATAAATAAATTGAGTGTTTACGCATTAAAAAGATGCAAAATTTATAAGACAAAGTAAATATAGAAGTTATAAAGGAATCACTCACAACTACATTCTTACTCTTAGTCTTTTCTCCTACATTCATCACGACTCTGGAACGCGCTTCCTGATGCCATTAAGAGACTACCGACTAAACCGTATTTCAAAAAAAGTGTTCACGCTCACTTTTTATTTTTATCCGAGCAGTAAGTGCTTTATATTATTCCCAAATTCGTGTATAATATAGTATATATCATATATGTGTAAGTATATTTGTTATTCATATATATTTATTCGTTTATATATGTAATCTTAGTATGTATGTATATCAATAATTAGTAGTACCGCATTCGAGTATTCTGACACTTCCCTATGGTTGGCTGGGAGAGAATGCTTTTAGCATTAAGTCCGCCATGTACACATATATGTACTAATGAATAAATAAAAATAAAATAAATAAATAAATAACTATTGATCACGCAAAATTGTATGAAAAAGATGAGCCGTTTTACTCGAAACATTTGTATGGAGACACACGTATCTATAAACTAAGATGTTAGATTATGTCCTATCTATTACTTCATGTAATTAAAACGTCTGAAACAATGAATTATGGATTAATTTTATATCAATTATTGGATAGCAACTGTTTAAATCTGTTTTTTTTTTATACAACTTATAATGGCAGACAAGCTGACGGCCCACCTGACGGAAAGTGGTAACCGTCGCCTATAGACATGAGCAGTACCATGGACATAACAGAGTATACCGTTTCGCCCATGATACCCCACATGCGTTGCCATTCCTGAGGACTCAGGTGTTATTCCTTTGTAGGGAGAGCGTAGGATGAGCAACAGCCTTCTTAAAACATCTCTAAAGCCGTCCGGTATATACACTAAACTGTCTTTAAAAAAAAAAAAACGTTTACGCTTATTTTTTACTTTATCCGAGCAGTAAGTGCTTTATATTATTCTCAATTTCGTGTATAACATAGTATATATCATATATGTGTAAGTATATTTGTTATTTATATATATTTATTCGTTTATATATGTAATTTTAGTATGTATGTATATCAATAATTAGTAGTACCGCATTCGAGTATTGTGACACTTCCCTATGGTTGACTGGGAGAGAATGCTTTTAGCATTAAGTCCGCCATGTACACACATATGTACTAATGAATAAATCAATAAATAAAATAAATTAAAAAACACAGCAGTACTCAACAGTAATTAAAAAACTATCATACTTAAATTTAATTAGTTAATACAAAATTTTGATTTATAAAATTTTCTTCGAATAAATATCAAAATATAATAATTACCACGTAATTAGAAATTAATTTAATTATATAGAAACATGTATGTTTTGTTGTATAATTCATGCTCGGGTTTCTTTAATGTCTAATACGAAATAACATCGAATTAATTCCGTAGTTTTGGTTAAAAAAAACAGTGTTACACTACGTCAGTCACGTGTATTAATTTAATGGATTCCAACTAATATAATAAATGTGAAAGTTAGTTTGTTTATTTCTCAAACCCATCCAGTTAAATTTTCACCGAATATATCATGGGCAGTGCTCTGTAGGAATTGTTCCCACTGATACCTGCTGCTGATTTTCACCACTGTACAACCCGCCACAACCAGAAGTTTCATTCCAACTAGAATTTATAACAATTGGTCCCACAGAAATGTTATCAAAATTAGTCTAATAGTTTAGTTTTTTAATAATTAACTGGTCTTGCCACAATGGAAGTCAGTTTTTTTAAACACAATTTAAATATATTAAATACTAGCTTTCGCCTAGGACCTTGGTTATCGCAATGTGCAATTTTTGGAAATAACTCGATAGATTTGGATAAGGATTAATAGCACGAGTAAAATAAATGCGTTTAAATGTAGTCCAAAACAAATTCAAGATTTTTAAATAAAAAGTGATTGTTGTGCCTCACTCGACATAGATAGGTATAGTGTGTCGCGGACTTTTTCGTAGATATTTATAAGATCTACAATTAATTAGAACATTTTACGGTTCTATCTTTTATAGTTTAGGCAGCGTACGCAAAATAAAGTAAGTTTTCTGGTTGATTTTTTACACCTTGTGTCCGATAAAGCCAAATATTTTACGGAACCCTATTTTTTTCGAAAATAAACTTTAGCCTATGTTACTCGTGGATAATGTAGCTTTCGAATGGTGAAAGAACTTTTAAAAACGGTCCAGTAGTTTTTGAGCTTATTCATTACAATCAAACAAACAAAGTTTTCCTCTTTATAATATTAGTGTAGATAATATAAAGTACTGTCCACTCTACAAATCGTTTTAGCATTAACATAATACCTCCGCGTCATGAGATGATCTGATAATTTTTTATTCATGCTGATAAAATTTCTGAGAACATCAAGGGATTAAAAGATAAGGCGATAAAGATGGTAAATCGATTCACCTGTACAGACTCATTCACTGACACATCATGGGTGAGGTTTTTTTTTCTGATGTGTGAAAATGGTATGGTAACCGCCTGCGCTAACGGGATACGCTGGCGGAGCACCAGTGAAGGGTGATAGATGAGAATGAAAACAGGCCAGTTGGCCCATCATGATGAATTCACCATGATAGTTTCCAGGGGAAACCGTGAGGAGGTTGACCTGGTTGGGTATATTGTTAGCAATGGGATACATAGTCTTCATTACTAACAATCTCTTTCCCCCTCATGGGTGAGGTTAGCACAGTATAAGTAATAGTCCCGGCATGGATGGACCACCCTTTTCTTTCCTGAGGGTATCGTAAACCTAAAAACCTGTCATAAGTGTGAGTGCCAGTCCGCCTGCCAGTGGTAACTAATCGCATAAATCACCTTGTGACGAATTCTTACATTTTGCAGTGGGATGTTAACGGGTGATATGATGATGATGATGTAATAGTTAGCATGATAGTGTATATATATATATATATATATATATATATATTGTTTATAGGATATCGAGCCTTTAAGTCTCGCCTTAGACTTAAGGGCTCGATACCGTCTGCAAACTTGGCTTGTTTTATATTAGTTCAAAATAATCACATTGTGTATTTTATCTACTTTATTGTTTATTAAAAATTAGGCAAATGATCAGAAATACGAAAAAAAAGTACTTTGTGTTTGTCTACTTTGTATGTGTTTGTCTGTGAATCATCACATTGCTAACATTCTTGGTAGTTGATAGCATAGCTGCATTACAGGTATAAAACTGGTTAAACTCAGATTTTTTTTAAATAGATGATAATGGAATGGTAAGCCCGCCTGCGCTGGAAGGGGCACCAGTGAGGGATGATAGGTGACTCACTTGGAATAGAACACGATAGTTTCCAGGGGGAACCGCGTGGAGGTAAACCTGACAGGGTGTATTGCTAACAATGGCACTACTAATCCCCACTTTTAACAATCCATTTTACCCGCGTTAAACTCAGTTGGTCCATCGTGGCGAATTCACCAGGAATTAACAACAATAGATTAGTGTGTAAAAGTTGATCTGACTGGATTTTTTTAATGGGTGATAATGGAATGGTAACCCTGGCTGCGCTAACGGTATACGTTTGGCTGATGCCCCATCAGTGAGAGATGATAGGTGAGGATAAAAAGGCAGGTTAGGTCACGCCAAGAATTACCAGAGGGAGATTTTGTACAAAAGTGGATTGCTTGGGTACCTCTGTCCCATTCGTGTTTCTACCGTCAAGCAGTTGTGTTTGCATGATTGTGTTTCGGTTTGAAGGGTGGGATATGGTGTGAATTTACTGGGTACAGAGGAACAACACCTGAGTCCTCAGGAATGGAAACGCATGGGGGTATCATGGGTGAAACAGTATACTCTGTTATGTTCATGCTACTGCTCATGTCTATAGGCTACGGTTACCACTTTCCATCAGGTGGGCCGTCAGCTTGTTTGCCATTCTAAGTTGTATAAAAAAAAAGATTTCAGTATGTTGGTGTATATGATGGTTTCTAGGAAGGACCATGTGGAGGCCTACCTGGCAGGGTGTATTGCTAACAATGGGAACAATAGTCCGCAGTACTACTTAAATCCCTCACTGGTTAGCGCAGGCGGGGTTACCATTCTGTTGTCACATATTAAAAAAAAAACGCGTATACCGCGGTAACGGCCTATTTCATTGTTCAGTCGACGATGGACGTTTAGTCACACAGCGTGCACATACAAATTAACAATTAAAGTGTTGGAGAAAGATACTTATTACGTGTTACAGT